TCTCTTATGAGTTATCACGTATAAATGTTATAAATGATGTTATGTTTGATGCTTGAATTCTCTTTTGAAAATACACACTGGCCCAGCCGCTGATAAAACAACTTCCGGTGACAGTAAGGCTGCTGTCCAGGCGAACCATTCAATGCTGACAGCATAGTAGCCCTAATGAAGAATGTTCCCAAATGAAATATGTCTCTCTATAGCTTTTTTTTTTTTCTATACGTATGTGTTTTAATGAAGATCATTAACCCTAGTTAGGCCATGTCATTAATCATGACTTATTACTAACCATAGCCATTTCCCCAAATGGAGGATGTTTGGCAAGAAGAAGAGAGAATATCTAATGTGAATCTATGCTCTAGTTTGAATACAAGTTATGTGAAGACAAGTGTAAGACATAAAAGAATTTCCCCCGAGGACTGCTGCGTGGAGACCTGCCGAACACATCAATCTTCAGGCCAGCAAGTAGAGGGTACTGAGGTTACCTTATGTTTGGTTATTTACATGTCTTTACTCCAAGAAGAGTCAGATATTTAAACCCTCATCTTGAAGCTATAATTGTCTTATAGATTCACTTCACCCTTTTAAAATTAATTTCTTGATATTTCCTTATAACATTTGATAACATTATGAATAAATAGAAATATGCCCAACAAGAAAGTCATGTCAGACTGACCAGAAAGATTTAAATAAAACCATACATACTTTATGAGTGAATGTTTATCCAGCCTTCATAAAATAAGTTTTCCTTCATACTTCAACACTTGACTAAATTATCCCTCTTTCCTTTGGTCTTAGTGAGTTAAGCTAAGTTAAGTTAAGTTAGCCCATAAGTTCTTGAACCTCTGGTTATAATTTTCATAGGCTTGACTTTGGGTTATTTTATGAGTCAAGTTGGTTGATTTTAAACCAAAGACAGAGTCCTAAATTCTAAATGAGAAAAGTAGACTAGCAAAGTGTGGTATTTATAATTTTTATTTACTTTTAGATATAATTCCTATAAACATTTCTCCATTCATGAAAGATTTATAGAAAGGATTTCCTCAATACATACTTTGGGAAACCACCCCCTCCCCCACCCCCTCCCCACCCCCACCTTCTAATGCAGTAAAGAGATTTAATTCTCTAATTTGGCGCACTGGTGGGGGGACTTCGAAATGCTTATCTGATTTTTATTTATGTGAGACACAGCCCTTGACTTAACGGCTAGTGCCTAGTGTTCAGAACAGTGCAGGGTTCATAGTATATGCTCATTAAGAATTGGTTAATGCCTGTAACACAAGAATTTAAGGCCAAAATTACAAGGAGCCTGAGGAAGCAGAGGACAGCTTTACCAATAGCATTGATCTGTCAGCAGTTGACTAACATTTGCTTACTACTTCAATGCCCTCCTTGCTTCAGTAAGGTATGTAGTATTCTGGGAGACCTACACCTGAAATTGTCAGTAGAGAGCATTGTAAATGTTGTTTGATCCACGCTCCCATTTTTTGTGCATAAATAGTATCCTATCACATAAGGAATCTGTTCAAGTCAATAATCCATGTATTGTAATTTTAAGATAGTCTACACTTGTTTAATCACCCTTTCTCAATTGTGTTTTAAATACATTATCATGGGCTAAATCAAAGACAATACAAACTGAAGGGTCTTTATGCTACAGGAAGATGATAGATAAGATTCGGTCCCATAAAATGACAAGATTGTCGCTAAGGTGAACCAGAAAGAAAACAGAGATTTAGGAATGGATTTGTGGCTCATACTTAATCCTATCTCCAATCTAAGAAAAATTGATTCTTATGATACAGTCCTGCTCAATTCGTGCCCTCATGAAGGAAACAGAACATATGGGTACTATAGCAAAATGTGAAAAAATTAGATAGTGCCAAGCTAGTATAAGAATAGTATTTGGGTCTTAAAAGCTTGTTTTCAAATGAGCAGCCATCTACATAAGAAGTTAACTAAGCCCACGTGGAAGAAGCACACCAACATCTGTGATCCAAGGATTGTAAATGATATAATCCAAATCCAAATTAGGGATAGCTTAAATTTTGAAGTTCTGGTTTGCAGAAGTCTATGGTTGACAGTGGAAACCCCAAATCCATTCACAGGATCTGCACATGGAATAAGTCTTTGATGATTCCCCTCTGACTATAAGTGAGGGATGGGAATAACCTGATTATCAAACAGAGAGTACTGGAGAGATTATTAGAGTGCATTTAAATGATAATCCTGAGTAGAATGGTTAAAACCTTGTCTCCCTTTTGATACATTTTGAGATTGATCTGAAATTTAATATTTTCTATTGTTTGTTTGAAATTGGAGTTTATCTACAACTGAAAGGTTGTACAGTGTCATTGTTAGAGTCCTTGACTCTCTGTTATGTATCTTTCTATGTTTTTTAGTATATGAAACTCAGGTTGGGTGGATCTATAGGGGCAATAGTTAGAATAAGGGCTTCCTGGGGGATACATCAGGGGCGGGGAGGTAATCAGGAGCTGCTATCAAGCAGTACAAGAAGCAAGAAAATGTTTTGAAAATGATTGTGTAAATGATTGTAGAACACTGCTGCTTGATATGATTGGACTATTGAATGGCAAGATGTCTGGATTATAGTCTGATAAAATGATTTTTAAGAGAAAATAAAAGAACCACAACAAAATAAAAAAAAAACAAATACTGTATAATCTCATATGAAATAAACAAACAGAGGTGAAAAAGGAATTGGTGAATGAATTACATGTGAAAGAAGGATCAAATCATTTTATATGATCCTAAAGCAATACAAGTAGTGCAATAGATGTGAATTTTAGGAACGCATGCCTAAAAACATCATTATAGCTACTGAAAGGTAAAAGGAGGTGACTTGGGAATATAGTAGAAAATAGATTGGACAAAGTTTTGACCAGGATATGGAAAAGGAGATTTTAGTGATAAAAGTAGATTTAACTATAAAGGTACATTTAACTTTGAATTTGCAATTCTATTCGGTTTACTGGAGTCCCTGGGTGGTGCAGATCTTTAAAGCATTTGCAGTTAACTGAAAGGTTGCAGGTTCGAGCACTTCAGAAGAAAGGTCTGGCAAACTACTTCCAAAAAAATCAGCCTCTGAAATTCCCATGGAACACAGTTTTACTCTGACATTTTCGGCAAAATCAAGAAAGGAATTAGAAGAATGTGAGAAGGTGAACAAAGGGGCTAGATGACAGAGAGGGCTGTTCAGGGTTATGCTAAGGAGTTTGTTCTTCCGAGTGAAAGTAAGTAGTGTTTTTTGAAAATGAGTGTATTAGAAATCGCCAAAGTGAGGCAATAGCAAGCTAGCAAAGTTTTCCAAATACGTTCCATCCAGAACCGGTCTGATCTTTATATCTAATCTATGTTTAATCTGCATCTACATTTGCTCCTGTATATCTATATCGCTCCAACTCTAGCTCTATCTACGTTTACATCTACATCTCTATCTATAGCATCTATATCTATAGTTACATAGTTTCATTTAAGAATTAATTTGCTAAAAATAATCTGACTGCCTTAAAAATGTTTCCAAAAATGGACATTCTCACTCTTTAGCCTGCTTTGCCTAATGTATTTGGAATCATTCTTGTTCTCTTTTTTTTTACGTGTCATAGCTCACGAGATTCTGTCAGCCTTCAACATACCATAGTCATGTATTTTGAATACAATGATGTCTGATTCCCTCGCTCCTAACATCCTCGTTCAGGTCACCATCATGTCTCACCTGAGTTTTAATGGCCCTCTGGACAGCCCTGTTTCACTACAGTATCTTCTACACAGGGACATAGTTTAAAGGGACCACCCTATCTTTATTGACATCCTTTCTTAATCCAGTTAAACTACACCAGCCCTGACCATGGTCTTCTCTGACCTCAACTTCTCTCCGCTCTGCTTGCCACCCTGGTCACACTGGACAACTGATCTATTTGCTTTTCTGCAAATGTATTAAGGTCTCCATTTTACTCACACCCATTTCCCCTCGGATATCGATGGCTCAGTCCTTCATTTTGATCATATCCCTGCTTATATGTCAACTCTGCAGAGAAGTTTCATGGATCACCTTATTTAATTAGTATCACACACCACCCTTCTCTCCACTCTGTATCTTCTTACCAGACAATTGATGTTGATTCCTGAAGAGAGAGGGAGAGACAAGCTGACTCCAGCTCTTGCAGACCTCGTGTAGTAAGTGAACTCCTTGGCTGTAATCTCTCCAGCATTTTCTTCTGCAGCCCCTGTTGCTATGTCAGGTGCTAGTGCATCCGTTCAGACTCCTAGCAACTCTATGCACAACAGAGGGCGACACTGCCTGGTTGTGCGGCATACTCACAATTATTCTTGAGTTTGGGCCCTTTGCTCTAGCCACTGTGCCAAACCATCATGTCTACAACCTTCTTTTTCACTGCCTTTCTACTTTACTAAGAATAATATAATGCCCTTTTCCAGGGACTAGTCTCTCCTCACATGTCCAAAGCACTTCAGACGAAGTCTCACCCTTCTTACCTCTAAGGAGCAATCTGGCTATATTTCTTCCAAGTCACATATATAGTCAGGCCTTTTGGATATCTATTTATATACATATATACTTAATTTATTTTTCACACCTATCTTCTCTACCAGGAGATAATCTCCGTAAGAAGAGACTATATCAGTGGTTTTCAACCTTCCTAATGCCGTGGCCCTTTAATACAGTTCCTCATGTGGTGACACCCAACCATAAAATTATTTTCGTTGCTACATCATAACTGTAATTTTGCTACTGTTATGAATCGGGCAAACCATGTGAAAGGATCGGTCAACCCCCAAAGGGGTCGCAAGTCACAGGTTGAGAACTGATGGACTATATCCTTATCAGTGCTAGATCTCTAAAATAGTGTCTGGCACTGGGAAAATTTTCAATAAATAAGTGTTGAATTAATGAAATCAAAAGGGCTGTTTTTGTTAAAAGACACGTGGCAGTCATTGCAACCACAATATCTTATTGGCATTAAATAAAATCTATATATTAGTTAGTCTCTACATAACAAAAGATTTAGAAGCCCCAGGGCTATATATATTTTAAACTTTTTATTGTGAATTCTATAAAAGTTTAAACCAATCTTTGAAAAACAGAGTACATTTCTACTCTGATATGCATGGGGTTCCCATGAGTTAGAACAGACTCCATTGCACTTAGAAAAAACTGGGTATATCTAGGTTTTGAAAATTATATATTTGGTAGTTTTAGTGGCACAATATGATATGACTTAAACCCAAAATGTCGAGAGCAGATTAGTTTTCCATTAAACAATTCACACATTTTTGTCTCATATCATTGATTCCAGTCCCACAGTGCAGCATCACTTACCGGTTGTCCCACTTCCTGACCATGTTTCCGATGTTTTTGAAGAATACAAACAGGCTTAGAAACACTTCGAGGATTTAAAAATAAGAATGTTATCATATTGCTGCTCATGTAGCCGCTGTCAGAAGTAGGGCTAATTATCTTCCTCGGTAGCGAGTGTAGTCTGGGAGGTGGTTGATTCTGATTGCTCACAGGATGGCAGCCATGATTCTGGGGCCAATGCTAAAGATTTCACTGCCTATACAGGGACAAATTTTATGCTGGATCTGAACTCATAGGTGTGAGAAAAATATATTAAGGACATTTTTGAAATTATTATCACATAAATGTTGTATGTGATGTTGACTTATATTCAATTGTGTAAATAGGATTGGGCAGCATCAGCATGCCCCTCCACCCTCTCACACATTCCAGTTAAGGTGAAGGATACCAGGCATTTTCTGCCCACACAGTGTAACTTTGCTCTTCCGTATCTTTCACCTGCCAAACCAGTCACTGATAGCTGATAGGACGCTGATTCATCTGATGAATTCATACTTAAAATTCCTCCAGTTTCCTGCCACATTACCAGGTCTTTGTACATGTGAAGTCCCTTAATATCATGACCTTCACAAGGCCTATTCTTAAGACATTTTGGGCAAAGCTAAGGCTATTCTGTGCTACAATTCTATTTGTTCATGTCTTTGAAACTTTAAGGAAGGCCAAAGTGAATTTTGCTTCATCATGAAAATACAAGTGTCATCACAACTTGCATGACTGTTTTATTTTAAATGCCACAACAATTAGCTACTCCCTTTTACTACCCACCATTGCCAATATTTTCTGACTCATGCTTTCGAGTATTGCAAATCTTCCCAAAGGAATTTTTCAAAGATCAGACGAAACTAAATTAAATTAAACTATTTATACCATTAAAATCTCCCCAGATTCTCTTAAATTATGCTTATTTTCTATCCAAAATGTGAAATTTAATTTATTTGGGCAATTTTATCACTTTTTTCAAATGGTAGTGAAAAATACTGTTCATCGGTGGAGATCTCTTTAACTTCCAAATAGAAACTTAGCAAGATGCTTCCATAAATCAGAAGTTCTACTTCTAAGCCAGAACCAAAGAAGTGGAGCATTTGTAGCCAGTGATATGTGGCCAGAGAACCTGGTTTAGCCTTTAAGGGCCAGCCAGACTGTACCATCTGAGAAATAGTTCCTGTCCTCACTTTTGACCTTTGCCCCAAGAGCTTTTATCATGGAAATTCTCCACGTTTTCCTATTACTGTGCTTGGTACTTTTATTATTTTCCCCAATGACACTATATTCATTTTATCCTTTATACCTTCCTTTTATACATATGAGCTTATTGAACGCACGCCTTCGGTATTTTAAATATTTTAAAATAGACTTTATGTTTGCCATATGATAGACACACAAGAGCTGGTTCTTACGTAGTTTTGAACTGGGTGTAGCAAATAGATAACATTTTTCTGCTGACCAGACCATGTGCCATCGGGTTCTAGTGCTCCATGTTCCTCGTCAGTGGTACCGCTAGGGCTGGTGTCACCTAGCTTGGTAACTCCTGGTGTCACACTGCCCTCTAGCACCTTACAGTCTACTTCTGAGAAGCAAAGCAACCTTTACAAACAGTGCACGTCTCTTCTGCAGCGCACGTGGCGGCCAAGAGCCAGAACTGACACCGCGCCACTTAAAGGAACTGGCGATATCTGTGCTTTGAAAATTATATATTTGGCAATTTTAGTAGAACAAAAAAGTAAAATGATTTAAAAACCACCACTTACATGTATCAAAGCTGGTTAATCAACTAGAGAAGCTGAGAATTAGGCACTTTACGGTAAGCCAGAATTTCAGGAGCACTAAACCTAAGCCAGACTAAGAAGGTCCAGGTTTTCTGACTTCTAAATAAATGTAACAGCACGTTGCCTGATGTGTTGCCTCTCAGGTCGAAAGGCCCTTAACATGCCACTGGAAAGATCTGCTTCCATATGTAGGGTTGACTTTAATGACACAGATGTAGTAAAGGTCTTGATACCTTCATTTGCTGGTGAAGCATTATTCAAAATGAGAAGAAACAACTGCAAACTTCAATTTGTATCAAAATGTAGAATGAATGAAGTATTGATTGAGGAATATTTGAATATGAAAAATGAAATGGAATGCTTCAATACTAATAACCTAAGCATTAGTCACCTGACATGGACTGGTAGTGGCCATTTAAAATTGGAAACTTATACAGTCTTCTATGCTGGAAATAAGAATTTAAGAGGAATAACATCACATTTGTCATTAAAAAGAACATTTCATATTCTATCCTGAAGTATAACACTGTCAGTGATAGGATAATTTCCATATACTGACAAAAAACCAATTAATATGACTATTATTAAAATGGATATACCAAATACAAATGAAAAGATGAAGTAATTGGGGATTTTTTTTTACCAGCTTTCACAGTCTGAAAATGATCAAACATGCAATACAGG